CAGGAAGTCCTAAAAACTCCCTGAAATGCCTTCAGTTAATCCAAAATGCTGCAGCAAGAGTACCGACAGGGACTAGAAAGAGAGAGCATATTTCTCCTGTTTTGGCTTCCCTTCATTGGCTTCCTGTTAAATCCAGAATTGAATTCAAAATCCTGCTCCTCACATACAAGGTCTTAAATAATCAGGGCCCATCTTATCTTAATGACCTTGTAGTACCATATCACCCTATTAGAGCACTTCACCCTTGCACTGCAGGCTTACTTGTTGTTCCTAGAGTATTTAAAAGTAGAATGGGAGGCAGAGCCTTCAGTTTTCAGGCCCCTCTTCTGTGGAACCAGCTTCCAGTTTGGATTCAGGAGACAGACACTATCTCTACTTCTAAGATTAGGCTTAAAACTTTCCTTTTTGCTAAAGCATATAGTTAGGGCTGGACCAGGTGACCCTGAATCCTCCTGGATTGAATTGTAACTGCTATTGATCTCTGTCTCTCCTCCACAGCATGTCTTTATCCTGTTTTCCTTCTCTCACCGCAACCGGTCGCAGCAGATGGCCGCCCCTCCCTGAAGGAGGTTTCTTCCTGTTAAAAGGGAGTTTTTTCCTTCCCACTGTCGCCAAAGTGCTTGCTCATAGGAGGTCAAATGATTGTTGGGTTTTTCTCTGTATCTATTATTGTAGGATCTACTGTACAATATAAAGTGCCTTGAGGCGACTGTTGTTGTGATTTGGCGCTATATAAATAAAATTAAATGGAATTGAATTGAATTGAATCCACTGTTACAGATCTCCCTCCCACTAACACACATGTATTCTGTCTTTAATTCCTCTTTTCTCTGGAGCAAGCCTCCAACTCTCCAGATATCCACCTGCTCCCACCACACTCCTACTGCTTACTTTAACTGTAAGGTATGACAAAATTATTGGACCACTAGTCATAAAAAACAAGAAAACACAAAGATTGTAGAAAACTGTTAAAAACCTCATGTTTTTATTAGGCATATAGCAAACTGAAATCTTGTTTTAATACCCAAATTTGAGCCAGCACTGGACTTCTTTGAGAAATCAAAAAGTAATTAAACATTCAACCGTTAAAACTAATTTTTCTGTTCAGGAATGCATTTAGTTTTAATCGCTAGCTTAACAGCTGTAACTATTATTATTATTAACAATAATAATAATAATGATAATAGATTTGTATAGTGCCTTTCAAAGGGCGCTTTACACAAGAGTAGAAAAAAAACGAAGGTTTTGTTGAAGAGGTGAGAATTTGGTAGCCTAATAAATAAAAAATACTAATAATAATGATGATGTGCTTTATGTCATGAGCTTTTTGGAAAACACAGCATTAAAATTTAGCATTAAAATGCATAATTTTGATTGAGGACCTTGTGCATATACTGGTGGTTGAACCTTAATAGAAATATTAAAAATTATTGCTTGATTTCTGGCAGCTGGGAATAAACCTTTCATTTGGTGGTCTAACAAATTTGTTGTCATTACTATATATTCTTATTATTTTACTTTTGCTTGAGGCAGTGCTGTACTTCTAGACCCTTACCTCCATATGTCGTTGCTCATCAATTAGAGCTGTTAAGGTAGGCTGCCAACGTTTCTGTCTACTTGCTGGTAGGCTTTTATCAGCTTCAATCTTTGACTTCAAGAGAAACACAACACTTTTTAGCTTAACAAAATGGGTTATTTTGTCAAATTCACGCTGTTTATTACCGTTACAGATCTGCAGGACTGATAACGCTTGCTACCTAACGTTCACATTAAGGTTTAGCCATAGCCGCTAGCTGCTACCGTAATACACGCTAATGTGGCTATCGGGTAATTGCTAGTAGTTAAACGGCTAAGATTAATATTTATAATTCATGAACTGTTTCACACTTAAAAGCATTAGTGACCTCTCGAAAGTTCTCATATGTTTTTTTTTTTTCAGTGTTGTGAATCTAAACTACCTCAGCAGCTGTTGACAGGAGCAAAGACAGCGCTGTCAGTCTGGATGCAGATACAGGGACTCATGATTTTAGTTATCAATCCTATTCCACTTCCTCAAATATAAGAAATACCTAATACTTGTTTATTTTACGATTTTAATAGATTTGCGTATTGCTCAGAGTTAGATTTAGATACTAATCTAACTCTAATGTGTGTTTTGTAACCATTTTATCAAACGCACAGTTTAAACCCAAATCCATTTGACTCGTGTGGACATAATGTCTCGATTGATTGATTGATTTTATCAATTTTCTTCCATTTTGGTCATTTTAGGGTGCATTACATAACAAGAAGCCACGTTAGGCAGCAGAAACACAGATCAGCCACAATATTAAAAACAATAATTAAATTATTTATTTAGAGTACAAATGTTTTGTGCAGTAGACCTTGTTTTGTCTTGAATCCTTTACAAATCTTGACTTAAAAATTTGTTTAGGTTGAAAATTTATTTTATATTGAAGGGCGGTTTCGTAGCACAATGTCTGAAGGTGTTTTCTGTTCCTTCCTGTTTGCCTTTGGAGTAACATATGACAGATTGCACCTACATGTGCTATATCCATAAGAAACTGGGAAAAAAAAATACAAATATGATACAAAGTCATGTAAGCTCATTCATCATTTTCATAATATCATCGCTGACCAAAGACAATGACTGCTGGTGATTCACTGCTTTACAAGCAAACATCTACCTACAGGTTTTACACTTAAGTATTACTATGACAGAAGCAAATAAATATAAAATGCTGATTTGTGTGCCATGGATTTGCTAGTTATTATTATTATTCAATTTGGAAAGAGCCATGGTGGCAGTTTCTCCCATAGATTTAAGCTAAGCTTCACATTAAGTCATGAAAGTAGCTAAGTCTCGAAGTCTCTGCAAGAAAAGGAATGAACATGTTCTTTGGGATCTGGGGCATCACAATGGAAGGTAACCCTGTCACATCCATGTTTTGAAGAAAAACAACAGTAGTTTTAAGTTTTTATAGAAAAAAATGGGAATAGTTTTTATCTTGGCTGATACTTGTGAACATTTTTCAAAAAGAAAATGAGGGTTATGTTTTTTAGGTAAGATTTAAGCTAGGGGACAGGGTAAAAAAGATAAGGTGTATATATAGATCTTTATATAGATCTTTTTTGGAATGATGGGGGACTTCAGCAGAGTCAAATATAAGATGAACAAGATGGAAACATCTGTCCCTTGACACTGAGTTTCTAAAATATTTTTTTGTGTAAACATGTCCTCTTTCATACACAAAAAAACCCTCGAGTTCTTCAGGGTCAAGGAGTGGGGAAATTAGTTTACTGTATCATTTCCCATCATGCCTTTCGTTTAGTGAGCAGCATGCAAAGTGAAATCCCACACCGGTTTCTACTTATAGCACTGAAAGGGATACCCGCAGAGCCCAGAGAATGCCTGTCTGCACAGTGGTGTAGAGTAGCTTTGTAACCTCACTCACTTAGTTCAGGGAGTGGACCTTCACAACTACACAAACACACAGAAGTAAGACACACAGCTGGGTAGCTGCTGTAGTTTTGAAGGAGAAATGTTCTGCAGTACTTGTTGAAACACCTCAACCAAGGCTGAAAAGTCCCTCCACTCTGTGGACAAACTGAATCCCTGGATCAGGAGAGAGAATCCAGATCCAGATTAGTTTGTGATATTAGCTTAAGAACATCAGGGGATGTCTCCCAATTTCAGTTAGGTATGTATTTGTGATGATATCACATAAAATGTCAAAGTTTTGCTCTATATCTCAATGATAAAGAATCTGCTAAAAAACTTCCTGGATCTAGCAAGAATCCAGGAAGTCTTTAGTGACTGGATTGACTCCAGAAGTTGAAGCAAGCCAAAACTCTCGTAATTTGTTTTTAACTATTTGATCCTGGTAACCAAGAGGAAAAAAAACAGGAAGCAATCACATTATTTTCTTGGAGGAGATCATTAAATTGTTTGTCTACAGTTTTAGCCGAAGAACCAATGAGCTCCTGCCATAATGTGTCATCCGTCCATGTTCAAATAGCAAGAATTGCTTCTCCTGCTACAGTAGTGGTCAGGATTTAATCACACTTAAACACAATTATCATCTAATGCATCTTCAATCAAATTGTGCTTAAGGTCAGAATCATAATTGTTTTGTTTTTTTTATGCGCAATAAGCTTTGAATTATGATGGATCGCGAATTGCACGAGCTACTGTTTCAATGAGGTTCTGTTAAATGTTTTCAAGCAAACTTTTATTGTTATGTTATTGTTTGGATCCTGAGAAGAGAGCGCACAGACACGTTTTCGCGTTTACACATGGGAAAGTTTAGTGTAAGAGTTTATAACTTACTGGCATGAACAATGATGAGGTGGTAAAGATACCTACTGAAAGTCCAAAGTTAAATTCTTCGCTTTTGTCAAACACTTCCTCATGAATCAGCACTGATCTTGGTAGGAATAGCAGGGTTTATGACAGCTGCCCTGTTTTATTGTGTCTAAATCGACACACTTGAAGTGATTACCTCACAGACTGATAGATTAGCGAATCTTCCAGTGGTACCTGTGATATGTGTAGCCTTGAACTTTTATATTTACTGTAGTGCTGCACACATGTGGCTAGTTTGTAATAGCTTTTGGAGTTGTGACGATAACTGAGCTTTCCCTACTTTCAGTTGTGCATTTATTTTCAGTCTGTAAGTAGGGGAGCTAGTGACCTCCTCCTTTTTTTTTAATTGCTTTGGCTGTTGGTGCTCTATTTTTTATGTGTGGTGTCGATCTTTCACACTTCCTGTAAATACAAGTATGAACCAAAGAGCCAAGGTTTTCTTCTCATTCCATCTGCTGTTTTCTTCGTTTTCTTTTAACTCCGTCAAACACATTTCATTAAGTACACGCGTGTAACAATGAATATGCTCATAGGCACAGTCCTGCTCGTTATCTCGCCCGAGGGTGAGATATAAAGATTAATGATGTGATTGCATGTGGCTGTGGTTGTCATCCATTCTCCTTTCTACCGCCAGAGAGAAGGCGACAGGGCAAGTTCCAGCCGTTCAGACGACTGTTTGGGAAGAAGAAGAAAAGACAGGCGAGAGAGGGCTTTGATGGAGCAGAGCTAAAAACCAGTTTTTCCACAGGGGAAGTGTGCAATGGTGTTACATCTGATGAGGAGTCCGATCAAAATCTGAGGTTAGTACATGGATCAGTTTTTTTTAAAACATGTATTCATCTATACTATACACACAGAAACTGAGCTTATTGTCCATTCACTACACTACCAAAGGTTGGAATTTGTTGCTTTTTTAAAACAGTACATTGTTTTTTTTCTCTGCTAAAAGCAACTCAGCTTCTTATTCACTTCTAGACAAATGAAAGTGTTAAATCACGCGGTTGCAAAATGCTGCAAGGTGACATAATCTGTAAAGACAAAGGTGAGGCTGTGCTTTGAAATGACTTTAAAGGCAAAAGGCTTCACTGACAATACGAGCTTACCTGTAACGACTTGTAACAGGACTGCGGGGTCAATCATTTCACTGTGTAAAGTTTTTTGCTGCTGCAAGTTTGTGATAAATGCATGAATGACTGACAGATGACACACTGCAGCACTGAAGACAATCTCCTTCTCCTGCAGGGAGTTGAATCCCATTGGATCTCGAGCTCTCTCACACGACAGCATCTTCATTCCAGAGGAACCGGTGAAGGAGGCTGGTCTGGATCACAGCATGTCCCAGGAAAACGTGTCGGATAAAGTTAGGAATCTGCAGGTGGGCCGTGCAGAGGTGTACACTCACTTCTCTTTTTGCTCCAACTAGATATGTTGTAATCATTAATTGCTTTTTATCCTCACAGAGGCAGATAGCACAAGGTATAAAGTTTGGCCAAAGGCCTCCTTCTCTGAGAAGAAGTGAGGGAGATGAGGGCAGCTCAGATGAGGAAGAGGTTCCGCGTAGCCCTCTGAAAGTTTTGGCCCAGGTAGAAGCGGAGCCACCAGGAACAGAGCCAAAGGTATGAGTTGACTGACTGGTAGGTTTTCTGTTTGTTTTAAGTTTGATTAATTTAACACAACATTTGTTCTGTTTAAGTCTTGGGTAGCACTAAACATGTGAAGAAGTTGCTTAGAACCTTTTGTGATTCTGGTATATCACTCCACATCAGGGGATTGTATTAATATTAAATAAACACATAAATAAATAAACAACCTTATCACACCACGGACACCTCTGCTTTCTGTGTACTGTGTCTACAGAGATCTCTTTAAGTCGTAGTTTAATTGCTCTTACTGTGACATAAGCAGGTGCAGGGAGGTCAGCCATTTGGACCACACAGCCCCCCTGTGAAGTCTCCAAGGTCCAAACGAGTTCTTCCACTCACTGGCACGATTGAGTCCATCAACCTTGATGCCGTCCCTCAATCAGTTCCTCGCTTAGACAACGCTGCCGCCAAACATAAACTCTCCGTCAAGCCGAAAAACCAGAGGATTTCCCGCAAGCACAGACGATTCACACAGGTGAGTTTCTTTTAATGTGGGTTTGCATGTTTGTTTATTCTGTGACACCCTTTGTTATTGTTAAAAAAAGCTGACACTACTTGGACTTTTGCATTCCAGGACCTCCAAGAGGTATCCATTCCTGGTTTGGTCCAAGATGACCTCGAAGCAGCTGGCATCTCCACAGACGACCAGCGTAGAGCGTCTGTTGAGTCCCCTGAAAGCTTCAAGAAACAAAGACTCCATGAGGAGGAAAGACAGGAGGCGAGGAGGATGAGAGAGCTTGAGGAGCTGAGGTTCAGACAGGAGGAAGAAGAGAGGAAGAGGAGAGCAGAGGAGCTGAGGCTGCGTGAACTGGAGGAGGAGAGATATCGTATGCAACAGCAGGAAGAGGAGGCAAGGAGGCTGCGCGAGGAGGCAGACAAAAAGAGAATGGAGGAGGAGGAAAGGAGGATCAGAGAGGAAGAGGAAGCAAGGAGACTGCTAGAGGAGGCAGAGAAAAAGAGAATAGAGGAGGAGGAGGAAAGGAGGATCAGAGAAGAAGAGGAGGCAAGGAGGCTGCTAAAGGAGGCAGAAAGAAGGAGAATGGAGGAGGAAAGGAGGATCAGAGAGGAGGAGGAACGGAGGTTCAGAGAAGAAGAGGAAAGGAGGATCAGGGAGGAGGAGGAAAAGAGGATCAGAGAGGAGGAGGAAAGAAGGCAAGAGGAAGAGCGCATGAGAAGGCTGGAGGAGGAAAGGAGGATGCGAGAAGAGGAGGAGCGTCGGCAGAGGGAAGAAGAGGAAGAAAGGAGACGACTAGAAGAACAATGGAGAAAAGAGGAAGAGGACAGGAAGAGGCAAGAGAAGGAGGAAAGGAGGAAACATGAGGAAGAGGCAAGGAGGCAGCAGGAGCTTGAGGCTGAGAGGAGGAGGAAGCTGGTAGAAGAAGAGGAAAGAAAGAAAGAGGAGGAAGCAGAGAAACTGAGGTTGTGGGAAATGGAAGAAAAGAAGAAAAAGGTAGCAGAGGAGAAGAGGAAAAAGGAGGAAGAGGAGCAAAGAAGGATGTCATTGGAGGAGGCTGATGGGAAGTTTGATCCACAAGAGATGAAGAGAAGAGCTGAAGAGCTACGCTGGAGGGAGATGGAGGAGAGACAGAGGCCATTTACTTTTAAAGTGTCCTCTGGTGAGAAACAGATTCTCTTCCAGAAGGTCAATCTGACGCCTGTTACGCCGGCCTCCAGCCACCAGAGCGCTGCTGTCGCTTATCAAAGAGATGGAGCAAAGGCTTCCTCCTCTGAAGGACCAGACTCCCCCAACCTGCCAGCATCTCCATATGTCCCCCATACAGCTATCCTAGTGACAGGCGCCCAGCTATGTGGGACAGCTGTCAATTTAGACCAGATCAAAGACACCGCCTGCAAGTCCCTGCTGGGTTTGGGAGAGGATAGAAAGGCCCAAGGAACACCGCCAACAAAGAGCAAGACTTCCCCAGAATGCAAGTCTGGAAAAACCAAATCACTCAATGAGTCTGTGCTCTCTACCGATCAGTCCAGTGCAGCTGTCCTGGCAGAATGGGCAAGCATCAGATCAAAGATATTCAAGGGGGTAGAAGAGGGGAAGTACGACGAGTACCCAGAGCCGAGCAGGAGCCAGTCTCAGTCCAGCGCTGAAGAACAGCCTCTGTTTGCCCACACGAACCTCAGGAAGACCATGTCTGCTAGCGCCAAGTTCTCCATCACCCCTGCAAGGAAGAAGTTTGGAGATTCAAATAGGAACTCTGAGGTGTTTGGTGCAGAAGATAAGGAAGCAGGAGAGGAGGTTGCTCCACCTGGAAGCCCCACTGTAGCCTCTCCTTCTCCATCAAGTAAACCTCAGAACAGGACAAGTAAAAGTGTCCGCATCATAGAAAGAGGGTCAGATGAGTGTATGTTTGCCAAAGACCTTCCTTCTTTCCTCGTTCCCAGTTCTGAAATTCAATCTGAAGAGGCAGAGTCGAAGAGCAGGGTTCAGAGTGAAACAGAGACATCTGAAAGCAGAGTGGAGGGAGAGGAGCAGGGCCAGGACAGTGAGGAGAAGCCTTCTCCTTTTGGCATAAAGCTGAGGAGGACCAACTACTCTCTGCGTTTTCACAGCGAGCAGTCCACAGAGAAAAAGAAGAAGCGCTACAGTGCTGGGGACAGCTTTGATGGCGTCCCCTCGCCTCTTACCCCCATTGAGCCAGACTCTGATGCCTCTTCTGTCTTTTCTGACAAATCAAGCCCCACGTCACCTCAGAAAGAAGGCGCGGTCAGCAAGTATTTACATGCATCTGCCTCTCCTGCATTCCCCCGGGGTAAACTGACTAAGTCTACCAGCCCGACTCCACACAGTGAGGGTGAGAAAGTGTTTTCCAAGCCACCGCTCTACCGCAGACCAGTGACATCACCTAAGCCTACAGGTGCAGCCCCATCACCTCCCCCATCACCACTACCTAAGGTAGCTCATGAGTCTCCCAGTGATGATTCAGTGGAGAGTACAATGGGTGTGGATTCATCCATCCAGGAGCAAGCCGGAAGGAGTGAGGAACCTTCAGCCCTGCTGCACAAGAGCAGCCAAAGTCATGTCCAAGGGGAAGAAGAGCCCAAGGAGAAGAGGTCATTCTTCCCCTCCATTAACATACCCTGGAGGGAAAAGGCAGACAGAAAGACAGAACTCATCAGGAAAGGTCAGCATCTTTGTTAGTTAGCTGAAATTATCACGTGAAATAACGAGCTTTAGATGAACCTGTAAGCTTATCTTGATACTTTTAGACAAAACTGTGTAAGCTGCTTCATCCCCAAGCATCTCCAGACCGTAGCTTCCTATTTAAGTAAAGAGACATAAGCAACAATCTTCTCATCTACATAATGCAAATCCATTTGATTTGCCAATATCTTGGCAACATTTACTGCTTAAAAGGATGTTCCATACCTAAATCAAATTACCATTTATCCATCTAGATTGTTTTGGCATGAGTTGGTGATATTGGCAGTAGAGATGTCTGCCTTCCCATGAATATACTGGGACTAAATGATAAATCCGCAAGCAATTATGTGAATAGTTTTTATGTAAATGGCTATTTTCTTTCTACTAACCTACACGCATTGTCGGACAGAAAGAAAAAAAGGTCCTGTGGAAAAATTTGGAATATGATTTTGAGATGAATGTTTTGTTAAATTAAAAATAGTGTTTTGTAGTATCAAAGCTTTCCAACAACATCTATCGTGTGTTCATCTGCAGAAAAACCATCCCTACAGAGCAGGCACTCACTGGACAGTGCGAGGGTCCAGGAGAAGGAGGCTGGACCTTTGTGGATCACACTGGCTCTTCAGAAGCAGAAAGGCTTCAGGGAGCAGCAGCAGAACCGGGAGGAGCGTCGTAGCCAAAGAGAGGCCAAGCTGGCAGAAAAACAAGCTAAAGAGCGAGACAGTGTATGCCCCACAGATAAACGTTTACACACTTTCTCGTGATCTCCGTAACATACTGTCCATCTTCTGAATGGATCCCAAATCTCTTTTGCAGATTACACTGGTGAGCCCCACAGACAGCAAAGGAAGTGGAAGCACCAGTCCTTCTTCTAAACCTCAGACGCCAGAGGAGCCCAAGAGACCAGAGAGCCTCCTGGGAAAATTTGAACGCCGGGAGCACCTAAAGAAGGCCAACACTCTACCGAGCTCTGTCACTGGTAAAATTGTCATATATCGTAGTAAAGTGAATATACTAAGTAGCTATTAGCGTCACAAACAACAGGATGAGCTCTTTTTCTGCGATTTCTGGTTATTCTGATTACAGTTGCTGTTATTAGTCAGGCAAATTTCTTTATTTCCAGAAGCTCTTCTTCAAAATTAATCTGTTTTTTTAAAATGAGTTTAATAATGGGCTATAGAAAGCAAACAGATTAGTAACACATTTTTACATGTTTGTTGTTGCAGTTGAGATTGCAGACTCTACACCGTCGCCACCTGCTGTCAAAGAGGTGTCAAAGCGCTTCCCCTCCAGTGACTCTCCGCAGGTTTCCACAGAGCCGGCCTGGCTTGCTCTGGCCAAACGAAAGGCCAAAGCCTGGAGCGACTGTCCTCAGATCATCAAATAACACCTCAAACCACCAGCTACACACGACACTCCGGCCTGCATCAAGAGTGTACACTGCCTACAGACTCTGAAACACTTGGAGTGTCACCATTAACTGTCCCCCCCCTCTGAGAACTCCACCTCTCACTTCTCACAATGAAAACTCTTCCCGACTGTGAAACCAGTAAAGCTCTCCATCTCCTCCTAACCCCCCCACATACACTGGCTGGTACTATTATCATGTTAAAGTGCGCTTCACATTCACTTAATCCAATACAGCCACACAGATATAAACAATTGATGCGAGCATGCACATACTGTATAAAAACATAAATTATATGTCTCTTAAACTCCTGCAGCCAATCGCAACCATGGTTGGCCACTGCAATAGCCAACCTTTTTCTTTTTTTTTTAATTGTGTAGCCAACTGTGTCACCATGGTTGTAAATAAATCATTTGCTCAACACAATATAACACTTCTTTATTATAGAGGTGAAGCTCTGATCTATGACAGTGTTTAATCAACAGAGGGTAACTGTCTGAATCATGTTTTAAGGGCTACCAGTTTAAACTCAGCACGAACCTGCTTCTGGAAGTGTTACAGGCATCCCCTCTGTCCTTCTTGGCGTTATTTATGTAAAGCAGCAGCTCTCCCTCTCCTGTGTCTTTTCTCTGAGCCTTGTTTTTCATCTACAAGAGATGCCTTTTTTTTATCAACACATACTGGAAAATCTTAGCTTAACAATTCTCACTGTGCCCGTGACGACTGTGATAGCTGTCCAAGGAGCTATTGTACAATTTTGCCATGATTTAAAAAGAAAAGAAACATGGTGGGTGCACCTAAACACAGCACTGAAGACCACAAGTGTTACTGGGCATTTATGGTGAACCTGCACCTCATCCTCACAGCTGTGTGCCGATGTAATTTGGATTTTTTATTTTTAGGCTTTGCTTATTGGAGACAGATGTGACACCTCCTAGCTGTAGACCTACGACTCTTATAGCTGTCCTCCTGTAACACGCTCGTCTTAGTAGGCTTGCGCCATCACTTTCTCTTAAATGTGATATGATCCTACATAATGTAAACATTTCCTCTATGAAGAAAAAAAAAAAACTTGATTCTTATTTCCTGCCACTCACTTAATGATCTGTATCTATGTAAGTATGTACTGTATGTAAGTGAAAGGCATTGCCGGAGGTTCGGTCAAAAAGAGGGCCCTAAAAGAGGTGGACTCACTGTCATTTTGTTTCTAACTTTGGTCGTGCACAATAGTGTAGTGTACGCAGTGTTGTATGTAACAAAAAATGTTTGGTATTATTTGCACTTTTTTGTCCCACTTACAGATATGAAAAAAAAGATACAAAATGTTATGAATAATGTAAATTAAATACTGATGTCTGAACCACAGAACTGCCGTCTCATACTGTTCAAAATCACGAAGGGGAAAGTACTATGCTCATTACAAACTCCATATTTCTATTCTTGAAGTGGCTTTACATGATTCATAATTCAAATTAATCAGTTTACCTTACTGCTAAGTCTCGGTGCAGCCCTTGAGTTCATATTTGAATGAAACAAGCTGTTTTAGCTCGCTTCCTTCTCTGTTTTACATTATTCTAATTGGGACATAATCTAAAAATGGTTTTGATATACTTTTGGTAAACTATATCATCAAAAGTATTCACTCACCCATCCAAACCACTAAATTCGGGTGTTTCGATTACTTCCATGGCTACAGGTGCATAAAGCATGGTGCACAGAGGCCTGACCTCCACCCAACAGAACATCTTTGGGATGAATCAGAGTGGGCACTGTGAGCTAGGGCTTCTCCTCCAACATTTATATGCATGTGAAGGCAGATGAGCAAATACTTTTGGCAATATAGTGTATGTTCACTAGATTTGTCCCAGTGTAAGTGTAACCCAGTGACCTGCGACGTGCAGTAATCAGCACAGCTGTTTCCATTTACAGCTCTGTGTGTTTTGGCGGGCCCCAACACCACCCTGGTTTAAACGGAAAGTGGGTGGGGCAGAGTGCATGCCTGAGATGGTCACATCAGGGATGTGGACTCCCTTTGAAATTATAAAGATTGATGAGTTCTAAAAAAATGCCTCAACTAAGCTTGTAATGTGTAACAAGACATATGGATCTCAGAAAACAAGTAGAATTGACTTAAAAATCCTATTTCCCAAAACACCTCACTTCACTGACAAACAAGTTGTGTTTATTGTTTTTTTTTTAAAAAAGGTACAAAAATAAAATATATCCTTCTACGTTTCCTCTTTTACACTCAGGCTCAGACAATACACATAGTCATTACGACATCCGACTAGGAGTGACCTTTCCCACACCACCGGGGATGAAAACAGCTCCCCGGGAAAGGTATGCGAGGCCAACATCCGTCCGTCTTTTCCATCCAGGATCCAGACTGTGCCGTCAGTGGAGGCCAGGCCCACCAGTGAACCCCTTTTTCCCACAGCTGAGCCGTCAAACACAAATGGGGTGGAGTACACCTTGCCTGTCGTCTGAAAAGTCCAAACCAAAGAGCCATCTGCACAATTCAAACAGTACAGGCAACCGTCATGTGATCCACACAGAAGTCTCTGCTGGTCTGACGTGATGCATGGAGAGGAGAAAACTGGACCCTTTGTTAGAAACTGCCACAGCTGCAAATACACACAAGGGTCATACAGTTATGAATTACACAGAGGATTCAGAAAATAGCCAGGCCCCTTCCCCCCTTTTCACCATACGAGTACATTTGAATGTTGTCGTAATGAATGGTTGTGACTTTAATGTAAAAAAAACAAAAAAAAAAAACCAAAACCCCCGAAATCACTCAAATCTTCAGCAAATCAGGTTTTGTATATATAGTAACTGGAAAATATTATAACAAAAAGTGAGCTCCTTACAAGTTTCCCTGTGTTGCTGAAGCAGCAGATGTGTCCATCAACCGAGCCGATCACAATGTGCTCAGAGAAGCAGTTTGGTGAGGAGAAGAAAGGAGTGTCTCTGCAGTAAGACCACAAGACATCTCCACTGTCCTGGGAAAGAGAAACACACGTGAGACATGTAGGGCCATCACTCTTATTATTCTCCTTTTTTAATGTTTTATAGTCAGTAGCAAATTTCTCTTTTGAGACAAATGTGCACATAAGGGAAAGAGGAAGGCTACAGAGAAAGTTCATGAATGTAGTGAAAATGGACATGCAGAGGGTTGACGTGACAGAGGAGGATGCTAGCGATAGTGTGAGATGGAGACAGATGATCTGCATGGCGACTCCTAAAGGGAACAGCTGAAAGATGAAGAGCTTTCTCATTTTAAACGTTAAACTAACACCCTCAAGGTCATCATAGAAATATTTTTACAAAAATTTGTGATTCAAACAGACTCGTGCCTCTTCCTTTCTTATTTCCACTTGTGCACCAAATGGCAAAACGACCTTCACTTACGATGCTGAGACAGAGCAGGCGTCCTCCCAGTGAAGCCGCGTACACCTGACGGCGTGACGCGTGAAGACGTGGAGAAGAAAACACAGCTCCTCCACCACAGTGACACTTCCAAACACACTTCTGAACCTGAAAACAGAAAATAGAGTGTCTGCTTCAAACACGTGAGACAGGTATCGAGTGCAACCATCAATCTGTGACTTTTCTGAATCATTCGAGTCCTTGTGTCTCTTTGCATCGAGCACTCACCTCTGAGTTTAGGGCGTAAACGTACCCATCGTGTGAGCCCACTACCACCAGACCAGTGAGAGGATCCACAGCAGGACAGCTCTTCACAGCATCTCCCGTCTCAAACACCCACTGTGTCTTTCCAGTTTCAGTGCATAAAAAATACACACAGCCGTCATAACATCCTGTGAAAGAACCCCCCCCCCCCCCAAAAAAAAGATATAGAAATATAAAGTAATAAAACCTCCTGAACATTAGGTATTCACAAAGCTGACACTTACCTATTACAACAAGGGCGCCACAGTGAGACACGGCAGCAGAGGCCTCGATTCTGTCTCCAAGAACTCGCTCCCACATTAGGTTTCCGGTGGCGACGTCTAAAGCCTGGATCCTGTGGGAGTGTGAGCCGATAAACACTGTTGCTTTGAACAAATCTGACCTGTGCTCAGCTCTGTTTTGTACTAGAAGCACCGGGGAGGCGTCCACACATCTGCCTGTGTCTGAGGACCAGCTCAGACTGAGGCCCAAATCAGCTTCTCCACAAGACTCCCTTTCTCCGAGGAGTTGATTCTGCACGGTTTTATCATCTTCTGTATATCTGATGTTCATCTCTATCACCTCGCCCCCTCTTCTTATGACTTTCACAGCCTGTTTCTCCACCTGCAGACTCTCAGCTGCTGTCCAGTCTTTGCGCACTCTCTTTTCTAGTACCTGAGACGTGGATTCGACGTGCCGTCTCTTGGCCTGAGACGGCGTTGACTGGCTGTTCTCATGCTCCAAGATTCCTCTTGCTCTGGCAACATGATTCACGATGTCAGAGAAGGTCCCATCAAGTATAACCTCCAGGAGCTCTGGTGAGGTCACTCCCACAGCAGTGAGGATGTCTTCACAGAGACGCAGAGCCTTCAGAGAATCTCCTCCACTGAACAAGAACTTGGACTTCTCGTCAACGGTAACATCTACAGCAAGATTTAAAGTATCCTGTTGATAGATAGTTTAAAAGAAAATGAACATAAGGAGACAACAGTTTATTTAAATTTAGAGCATGAATGTTGTCATCAAAAATGAAAAATACCCGCCACAGAGTCTGAAGAATTTGCCTCAGTTCACTGCGATTTCTCTGTGAAGACTCTAAACACTGTCTCTGTTTTTCATAAACTCGGACTAATGCCTCTATGTTGACTTTGCCTATCAAAAAACAACAGTTAGAAAGGTGAATGGATAAAGTGGTGAATGAATTAGCTGCTGTTTCTCCTCAGCAGTGACAGCGTGTCTAAAGCTCACCGTGAGCAGTCAGGCATAAAGCCGGGACAAGCACCAGCGTGTCAGGAACGCTGTGAGCAGGCAGCAGCAGAGACAACTGGCTCAGAATGAGCTTCTTCAGATCTCCGTCTGCACCGCCTGACTCCTCCAGGGGGGGGTTGACAGAAGAGGGTAGGTTCTCAGCATGCTCACCAAAAGCACAAGCAGAGGGAATTTGTTCTGCACGTTGCTGTACAGATGCGGAGGTGGAAGCTGCCTTCTGGTGTCCAGATGTGGATGCCACGACAAAGGCGAGAAGTCGAAATCCTTGGTGCAGACCCACAGCGCAGGCTTCCACCTGAGGGAGACTCAGCAGGACCTGCAGGAGGGGAGATGTAAATCAAAATCATAAAGATGTTGAAAAGGTATTTTGTTTACAAAGAATTAATGAAAAGTATCCACATTAAAGTACAGCATTAAGAAAAGGTGCCACCAGTTTAAAAACGCAATTATTAATCAGCTAAAACTGCTTTTCTCTTGTTTGCTCTTTTTTTCTTATTGCTGTGTGTATGTGACAATAAATTGAAAAAAATAGTCTTTCATTATTTTTAGTAACAGTGAATCTGAGTGAGGAAACTGGTTCATAACAGAGACACCAGATTTCTTTAGGGTGGGGGTTAAGGATTCAAATCTTTCCTTTAATTTACCACAATCAGTACATCAGCTTTGCCTTCAGTATGTTAAAAAAAGGATCCAGTTGAAGTGGCTCGAGAAACTGACTAAGGCGCCTCCCAGTTGAGGTATTCCAGGCATGTTCTAACAAGAACAGGCCCTGGAGCAGACCCAGGCCAGGCAGAGAGATTATATTTCTTGGCTAGCTCGGAAACACGTTGCTACAACTCTGACTGAGCTTGGGGAGGGTATTTTGGGGAGGTGGTCAAGCTCATCCCTCAGAAACCAAGGTCTGGGCTTCTCTGCTGACACTGTGACCTGGATAAGACGTAAAAGTTGTTGGATGTTAAAAGCACGAGTGATGTGTGTTCCTTCATGTGTCAGTCTTGGTCTAACATGAGGCTAAGCCAGTGGACTTATTTCTTTTTTGAATCAATCACGTGACTTATAATTCATACATCAGAAAACATCTTACTTGCTGCAGGCTGTCTAAGTTCACTCGTTTTCCATTGCGTTTGATCAGTCGGTCTCTCCGTCCCAGGTAGTGCAGCTGTCCATCTTTAACATTCACCCAGTCTCCTGTAGCCCTCATCGTCCCAGGGACAACAGTGTCTTCATCATCCAAGAGACACACTCGGTCCTCTCCACCTGCACAAACGATCATATGAATTCATGAGGTTTTTCTTCATCTCAATGTGATTAATTTGCAGAGAACTCACAGTGTTTTTCCTACCTATGAAGATCTGTCCTTCACCCTCTGAAACAACACAGCCATGTTCATCTCTGACTTCCACCACTGTGCCCATCAGAGGAGTCCC